CTGATCAGTAAAAATTGGCAATGCAGCTTAGTTACCTGTTAATAGGCAGAGCTTTGTTCTCAAATGTAGAATCATAGAATCATTTATCAATTTTAAAAAGTTCATTGTTGCGACAACATATTAAACTCAGTTTATTTTTCTATGAAGTAAGTATAATGTGAAATAAATGTACGAATCCCCGCAAAAAAAAAGAAATAAATGTACGAAATGTACATTTGATCTATTTTTCCTGAACATGGAACCTTGTTTGTTGGCCATGCCCGACAACTCTGCGACCATCCCTCCAGCACTCTTTCCGAGTTGGTGGATGCATTATCGCCTCTCCTCCATCTTCTGCCGCTGCCTCCTCCCTCTCTCGCCAGAACCTGGAGTTCTACACCGCACTCCCTTCGCTTTCAACGCGGCACGACCTCGCCGCCTCTGACAATCGGGCTTCCACCGAAGCGTGGGGACAGTTTGCGTGCAGAGGAGCAACTATGATGCGGAGCTATGGCCAAGATGGGCAAGGATAAAAAAGAAATGATAACCCACTAATAAGTGGGCCCTACATGGAAGAAGAAATATAAAGACTGTAGTTCATATAATTTGACTTTATACCCTTGCGTTGGAGCCTTTATTTTTTAGAAGACCCTTTAAACGCACTATAAAGGCTCAACATTTTGGGAAATCTGCTAGAGTTAATCTAACGGTCTAGATTTATTTCACTGCACACGGTAAATTTGGGCATGGGGGATCCCCACGGTTCACCCTCCTCTCACACTTTCCTCTTTTGATTTTTCTTTGAGTCCCGGCCCCTCCAATATTTTTTTGTGTGCAGAAAGTGACTCTCTATCTGGATCTGACCTAAATTCTCTCTCTCTCTCTCTCTCTCTCTCTCTCTCTCGCTATATATATATATATATATATATATATATATATATATATATATATTGTATGAGTGTACCCCTTCGTGACCTAGGTCCGCCACTGCCGCCGCCGCCTCCTCAACCCTAACCCCCAAACTCAAGTGCGTCGCCGCTCATCGATGTTCCCGTTCTACCGCCGTTCGCTGTTGTCTCAACCTCATCCAGAGTCTTTCACCTTTGGTAAGTTTTTCGTTGCCGCCCTGTACCCTCTCGTATACACAAACACTCAACCCCACGCCCTGATTTATCCTTTAGATTTATGGTTGCGCTTTATAGTTTTTGCTAGCTCAAATTTTTAGATATGGAAATAAGGCAATTTTATGGAATGGTTGTTCTAATCTGGTTATGAGTGATAGGGGGAGCTATTTTAAAGGCCTAACTTTTAGAGAATCTAGAATTTATCTAACGATCTTGATTTTTAACTGCACACGATGGATTGGGAACATAGGATCTCCACAGTTCATCCTTCTCCTCTCACCTCCTTTTCCGATTCATCTCCCTGGCCAACCTCAAATCTTGATCAGATAATTTGGATTTATTAGGGAATCTCTACTTGCTCTTACGATCTAGATTTATTTAAATTCACAAGATGGATCTCGAGAAGGGATCTCCATGATTCACCATTCTCCTCCCACCTTCCTTTTCTGATTCCGCTCCCGAGTCTTGACCAACCACCAAGCTGGATCAGAGGATCTAGATTTATTAAACTTTTACAAAACCTAGAGTTTCCCCAACGATATATATTTATTTAACTACATATGGTGCATTTGTAAACAAGGGACCTCCAGAGTTCACCCTTCTCAATTCATTGCCATTGGTAATGTTCTTGTCATCCCATCATGATCTAAACCTTACCGAATTTCCACAAATGAACTTCGGGTTTGTCGTGCACAACGAGCACACGATCTAGATCAAATGTTTGCCCACACAAACCCATGCTCTTATTTATCGTACCGATCTATGGTTCCATTTTACAGTTTTTGCTAGAAGCACAGTTGGCTATTTATCAAGGAAAATACAACAACTTTATTGAGTGGTTGTTCTTATCTAATTATGAGGGATAGTAGAAGCTATAAATGTGATGAAATGGGATAACCTTTTGTTGTGTAGTGTACTTGCATTTCAGCCTTCCAGGTTCATTTGCTTGATATAATTGTACTTACCCTGGCTTCATTTTCATGTAGAATTAAAATGGACAACGATCTAACATGCACAAGAAAAAGACATATGGGTTCCTATGAATCCTACCAAGGAAAAGTCTTTAAGAAAACCAGAGCAAATGTTCAGTTTACAGACCTTCCTGAGGATATGCTATCTATGGTTCTATCAAAGTTGCCACTAAAGGATGCTGTAAGGAGTGGCATTCTGTCAAGTAAATGGGAAGATAGGTGGATGTTATGCCCCAAACTAAGATTTGATGTTCTCACAGTGTCTAAGAATGTGTTTTACGAACAACAATACACTCAGAAATTCATTAAGACCGTGAATACAGTTATGCAACAACATCAGGGCATGGTTGTTGAAGAGCTCATGATCAAATTTGAGTTTGACTGCAGGATACTAGATCATATAAATTCATGGGTTGCTTTTGCTGTATCATCGCGGACGAAGAGCCTTGCCCTTGATATAGCACCAACCGATTACTTCGGTCGTACTGATCAGTACAGATTTCCGCTCGAGCTTTTAGACAATGGAAGCATATTTCAGCTTCGTCATCTAAAACTTAGCTTTGCATCATTTGAACTGCCCCCTCAATTCAGCGGTTTTCCAAATCTGAGAACACTTGACTTGTACTTGTTATGTGTCAGCCGGAAGGATCTTCAAGATATGCTGTCAAATTGCATTAATCTTGAGTGGTTTAGTATGTTTAGATGTCACCTGAATGATGAGCTGACAGTAGCTTGTCCATTGTCAAAGTTATTATACTTCCGTGTTGTGCACTGCAAGGTAACAAAGATAGTACTCAATGCGGCAAAACTCAAAACTTTCATTTTCTATGGGCGTCTGTATCCTGTTGACCTTGGGGATGCTCCAAACTTGAAACACACATTTCTTGATTTCTATACCCCAGTGACTCTTGAACATGCTTTGACTATACTTCCTAAAGTGCTTCCAAGTGTTCAGGATCTGACATTGCGTGCTTCACTCAAGGTTTGCTGTCTCACACTTCACTTTAATATGCA